CACAGGCCAGGATTCCCCACACCAACATAAATGGCCCCACGCAGGCTCAGGAGTTCCCACAGCATCAGAAATGATGTGATTTTGCCACACTCGAGGGCCCGATGGGACTCAGTGCTCAGGAGTTCCCACGCCTTTAGACACGAGGTCATGGACGGGTCAGGACACTTCCCACACTGTCACGAGTGACGAAAGTCTCCTGGAAGTATTTTCCACACCATTAAACATGATGAAATTCACTTCTCAGGATTTCCCACATGATTGTAAATGACATCATGCACCTGTTAGCGTTCACCACGTGACAGTAAATGATGTCATGCGTCCATGTTCCCCCAACATCGTGTGTCACCCCAGTCCAGCGCCTTCCTGCCACTCCGGTCCATGAACAACCAGAAGCTGTGGCGGGGTGTGGCGGGGTCTGTCAGAGCCGACACCCGCAGTGCGTGGACAGGAAACCTCAGGCCCTTACACACTCCCTCTGTTTGCAATGACAGAAGGAATGCTGGGAAACAAGCACCCCGCACCGCTGGAAGGACGACGACTGGAGCCTGGCTCCGAGACATCCACCTGTTAGGTAGCGACGTCCTAGGCAATCGACTGACTGATTGATCGCGCCGCTCGATTGCCGTGACCAATTGACTCATTGATTGTCTCGGTTGTTGCGCTGATGAATGGATCGACTGACTGATCACACTGTGGAGTGGTTAATTGATTGAGTGGATGATCCTAGTGATAAATCGACTGATTGTCTTGGTTAATTGATCGACTCATTGACGGCAGCGATTAATTGATTGACTAATTGATCGCATGGTTAATTGATTAACTGATTGCAGTGATTAACAGACCAATTGATCACAGTGGTTCCTTGATTGACTCACTGACTGAACACCCAGCCGGGGAACAAACCCAGAACCCTGTAAACTGACTACTAAGCACAGATGGCAAATCTGAAATCTTAAGAAATTAAGAAGCAAAGGTGATCTCTGGTGGGGGGAGGGGGTGTGAATCCATGACTGTCAGGACACGGGTCCGAGGCTACACCTCAGCAGGAGGGGCAAGAAGCAGATGGTTCTGGAGCTGAGGATCTGAGTGGACAAGTCACTTCTCACCTCACATCGGGCTGCCGTGAGGTCGGGTGATGTGGGGGTGCTTGGAGCTAAGTGGGTAGTGTGTGTAACTCGGTGACTGGAGTGCCGGTGGCTCAGTGGCTCGAGTGCCGTGAATGCAGGTCCTAGCGCGGGCCGCTTCAGCTCCCCCACCCTGACTGTCCTGACCTGCCACGCCCACATTTCCTGCAGTCCCTGAACTCGAACCCGGGTCCCTCTGCCCTCCCTGTCTCTGCCTCATGGTTACCAGGGAAACAGCAACCTCGGAGACAGACCCGGAAGTGGAGCCTGAAGTGGAGTGGTCACATCCGGGAGGCCAAAGGGGGGCGCCAGACCCCTGTCCAAGTGACGACTGCATGTGACCCCGTGAGTCACCCACTGAGGTCCCGGTGTCCCCACGAGGCCACGCCTCCAATGACTTCACTTCTTTCCACCAGGCCCAGCTCCCAAGTTTCCCCTCCTCCCAGTATCTCATTGAGCTGTGACTCCATCTGTGGATGGATGAGCTCACGATGATGTCAGAGCCCTCAGGATGCCATCACCTCCCCAAAGCCCCCACATGAAAGTCTCTGGGGAATATTGCAGACCCAGGAAAAAGGAGCGCGAACAGGAGCCTGTGGTGCCAGCGCCCTCCAGAGGCCATGCGTCCAACAACATCACTTCCCTGGTAGGCCCCACCCCTCCACGCTGATGCACTGCAGACATGGACTCTGGGATCCCTGTCTCCTCTCTCTCTACTTTGCGTCACGACGTCAGCAGTCTGTCCCACCCCGTGCTCCCATGATGCTCTGCGATGCCACAGGCACGAAGCCCCAAGCCATGTGACTGCAGGCTACCCCTCCGGAAACCCTGCCCAGCCCTGCCCTTCCTTCTTCATAACCAGCTGCCCCTTGCTGCAAGGCATTCTGGGACACGAGGTAGTCCACTGGCTCCCGTCAATCATGTCTTCATTCCAAGCACCCAGGACCTAGTCTGCCTCAGCGGTAGGTTCACCGAGTTCTCAGCACTCATTGGGACACACAGAGACATGAAGAAACCAGACTCGGGTGCTGCAACCACTCCACGAGGGTGGAAAATCGGCTCCGTCCGGCTTCGCAGGTGAACACTTCTGAGGGCAGATTTTCCCTGGACTTGCGGTGCTGTTCCCTGGAACTCAGTGTTTTACTTGGCGGAGCCCAGCAGGTTACAAGTGTGGCCCGGAAGTGCGGGTGTGTGTGTGTGTGACGGGAACGGACGCGTCCCTTGTCCATCGAGGGACCAACACATCAACAGAGTGTGACACGGCCATTTGGTGGACTATTACTCAGCCATGGAAAAAGAATAAAGCTTTGGCCCACGTGGTTCTGAGACAGCGTCTCCTTGTGCACCACAGTCTAGCCTGGTCTCCATGACCCTCCGGCCTCTGTCCCCGGCCTCTCTCTGCCACCCCAGTGCTGGGATGCCAAGGCCTGTCCTAAACAGGACAAATGTACCAGGGTCGGAAGTAGACTTTAAAGACTTGTGAGTCGCAGCTTCCTTGAACAGAATGTTCTGGAATGATCGTGTTCTGGACTGTATAACGTCGCAAAGGCACTGAAAATACATAAATGATCCGGCTATGGTTCGTCGGGAATCCTACTGAAATAAAAATAAGTTGTTTTTAAAGGTCATTCCAGGCAATTCCACTCTGAACAAAGTTAATTAGGCCATTAGCAACCCGAGTGCTGACTACTCAGTAACCGGAGGAGGAGTGCTGATGACTCAGTAACCCGAACTCGCCGCAGACATTTCCTGTCGTCTCCAGATCCGCTGGAAAACACCCGTGTTGATGCACGAGTTCCCGACAGGTGCTCGGAGGGCGGAGACACGACCGGACGCCAGTCACCGGAAACCGGAAGCCAGGAGCCGGAGTCCAGGAGGGCCCAAACCCCCAGCACCTGGGGCGCTGCTGAGGGCGGAGCCTGGAAAGTGAATCCCGGATCAGAAGAACCGACGTCATGAGGAAATAGGGAGTCTGCGGATGGAATGAGTGCTTGTAGCTCAGTGGGCAGAGTGCTTGTACCTCAGTGTGGAGAGTGCTTGTACTAGGTGGGCAGAGTGCTTGTACGTCAGTGTGGAGAGTGCTTGTACTAGGTGGGTAGAGTGGTGGTAGCTCAGTGGGGTGAGCTGTGGATCCCGTGGAACTGGAGTTATGGATGGCTGTCAGCTGTTATGTGGGTGCTGAGAACCGAGTCCTCTGCAGGAGCACTCAGTGCTCTTAACTGCTGATCCGTATCTCCAGGCTTAAATATGCGATTTCCTGTCGTCAGCCGTCAACCACCCCATTTCTTAAAGTCACTCATCCAACACCTGATTTTTAAAAATATTTTACTATTTTTATTGTATGTGTATGCGTGTATTGCCTGTGTGTAGGTCAGTGCACCCGTGTCGTGCAATGCCCACGGAGGACAGAAGAGGTCGTGGGATCCCCTAGGACTGGAGTGACGGACAGGAGCTAGCTGCGTGCGGGTGCTGGGACTCGAACCCGGGTCCTCCGCAAGAGCAGCCAGTGTTCTTAACCGCCGAGCCATCTCTCCAGCCCCCAACATTCCATTTCTTAAAGTCACTCATCCGACATGATTTCCTGTCGTCAGACATCCAACACCCCATTTCTTGTCGTCAGTCGTCAAACTCCCGATTTATGCCTGGGCCGGAGGAGGAAGAGGAAGCAGAAGAGGAAGCGGCAACTCTGCTCCCCCGCAGGGCCAGTCTCACGTTTTTTGTGCCACAGTTGTGCGAGGAAGTTTCAGGACTGAGCGCAGAGCCCACAGCACCGTGTGCAGGACAGAAAAGGGATGCGCGACCGCCCTGCTCGCTTCCCGCGCTTCCCGCAGGCTTCCAGGAGGGTGGGCCGGCCGGGCGGCGGGTGCTGGGAACCGAGTGGGACCGCCGCGCCTCGCAGGCCGTAAATCCCGGCATCGCCTCATAAATCTGGGCAGGCGCGCGGCGCACACCCTCCAGAAAGGGGGGAAACAGGCGCCGGAGGCAGCGGCTAATGGAAAAGAAATTGGAACCAGGAGCGTGTGCAGCCGGGGCCGAGCCTGGCCCGGGAGGAGGGCGTGTCGCACACGACTCTCGGGAATCGCGTGGGTGATCCTGACCTCGGATCCGCGTGGAAAATCCTGGTCTTGGACCCGCGTGGCAAATCCTGGCCTCCGACCCGCGTGGGACTCGGACCCGTGACTCTTTGTAAAAGATGGAAGACCAGGTGGGGCACAGTCCCAGCACCCAGACGGAAACATCCTGCTTCCTGGGGAAGGTGCTGGGATTCCACGCGGGAACTCGGGCCCCTGTGGGTAGGAACGTGAGGACTCCCGGTGACGCCCCCGAGTCCTCCCCCCCACCTACCCACCGAGGAAACGCACTAAGCACTCAGCAAAATGAGCGACAACGATACGCGGGTCAATCCATTTAATGTCCCGGGAGGGGCTTCCACAGCAAGCGTGTGCAGGGGACAAAATATCAGTACCGGGGCAGGTACCGAGTCCCAGCACTCGGGAGGCAGAGGCAGGATGATCTTCCCAGAAGCGAGGCCAGCCTGGTCTACGCAGCGAGTTCCAGGCCAGCTGGAGCGCAGTGTCGTTGGAGCCCAGCCCTGGATCTCCCGGGGCTAGCCTGGGCTCGAGCTGCTAGTCCTCCTGCAGCCAGATCCTGAGAGCCGGGATGACAGGTGGGCGAGACCAGGCCTGCAAATCAAACATAGGACCGGGGGCGAGGTTCGGCGGGCAGCGTGCTTGTAGCTGAGTGTGTAGAGTGCTTGTAGCTCAGTGGGTAGAGTGCCTGTAACTCAGTGGGCAGAGTGCTTGTAGCTCAGTGGACAGTGATTCTAGGTCAGTGGGCAGAGTGCTTTTATCTCAGTGGACATAGTGATTCTAGGTCAGTGGGCAGAGTGTTTGTAGCTCAGTGGACATAGTGATTCTAGGTCAGTGGGCAGAGTGCTTGTAGCTCAGTGGACATAGTGATTCTAGGTCAGTGGGCAGAGTGCTTGTAGCTCAGTGGACATAGTGATTCTAGGTCAGTGAGTTGAGTGCTTCTATGTCAGAGCAGAGAGCTTGTAGGTCAGTGGGAAGAGTGCTCGTAGCTCGGTTGGTGGACAACTGCAGACCTGGGGAGGCCCAGGTGGCTGGCGGCTCCATCCTGGTTCCTAGCCTGGGCTACGTGAGCCCCAGAGCCCCAAACAGCTTTACAATCCGAGAGGAAACCTGTGTGTGAGGCCAGGTGTGACGTCGGGGGACAAAGTGCTCACAACCAGGGCAAAGTGTGACATGACGAGGAAGTGCGTCACAACGTGAAGCTGTGAGGAAGTGCGTCACAACCACTTTAAGGTGTGACATTGGGGAGGATGTCACAGCTGTGCTCACGTTCCGATGTGACGTCAGGGGAGGAAGTGGGTCCCGTCTTTTCCGCTTCCGGGGTTTCAGGAGTTCCAAGCTCAGCGGCCCTCTGCACACGGCCCGTCCGCTCTGCACACGGCCCGTCCTGCTCATGCTCCGCACTTTCAGGATGCCGAGCTTGACAACAGTATTTACAGTATTGCACTTCCCGGGATTCACTGCATTTCGGCGGGCTTTGGCCCCAGTCCCCGTGAAGTAGAACGTCCACTTCCGGGTACCAAAGGGGGGGGTCAGAGGTCAGCTAAGCTAGGGCAGAAGCAAAGTCGGCGGAACCGGAAGTGGACGCCAGAGAAGGCGAGTCCCCGCTCCAGTCGGCCAGGCCTGAAGCCTCTGGTGGTTCAGAGACCGGACAGACGACCGGAAGTGGCTGACCGGAAGTCCAAGAGGGCCGGAAGTGGACAACCTAGTCTCTTCTCCACTAGACAGGGCCTCAAGACTGGAGAGACGACCGGATGTGGGCGGCCGGAAATGGACAATCGGGTCTCCTCCACTCTGCCAGGCCTGCAGCGTCTGGTAGTTCAGAGACCAGAGGGACGACCGGAAGTGGGAGGCCGGAAGTTGACGCCAAGTACCTTTTCCACTCGGCCAGGCCTCCATCCTCAGGCGTTTTGTTATTGCTATGGGTGCTGGGAACCGAGTCCACGTCCGTCCAGTCCGACTCCAGCCCTGAGGCTCTGACGTCAGACATTCGAGCTACTTAGCTGCATGCACGGGGTGGGGGGCTGGGTGCTTGGCGCTCGGTGCTGGGTGCTTGGTGCCCCGTCAGAGCCCCAAGGCCTCGGCGTGCTTCCGCGCCTTGAGCCGCAGGTCAGCGATGCTCGAACTCTTGCTGCTGCTCTTGGCTGCAGCAACCACGGCGGACTCGGCCAGGGACGCCAGCGGAAGTCCAAAGGGCGGCGGCGGGAACATCAGGTACGGCGCATGTGCCAGGTGCGGGTGCAGGTGCGGGTGCGCCACGCCTTCCAGCTGCAACTGCGCCTGGACCTGCGGGGACACCCAGGTCAGCACCGCGGGGGACTGTGCACAGCACCCGGCGAAGAGGTAGAACTGATCAGCACAGTGGCTGACTTTGCACAGCACCCGGACCACGGAGGAAACTGAGGTCAGCTCCGAGGAGGACTGTGCACGGCACCGGAACCACGGAGGAGACTTAGGTCAGCACCACAGAGGACTGCACAACACCCGAACCATGGAGGAGACTGAGGTCAGCACTGTGGAGGACTGTGCACAGCACCCGGCGAAGAGGTACACCCGGTCAGTACCGCGGGGGACCCTGCACATCACCCGGACCACGGAAGGGGCTCAGGTCAGCACCGCGGGGAACTGCACAGCACCCAGACCATGGGGAAAAGAGGTCAGCAACTAGGAGGACTGTTTCCAGCATCTGGACCACAGCAAATACTCAGCTCAGCACCACAGGGGTGCACACCACCCCGGACCCTCAGCTCAGACCTAAGTATGGCGGGGGGAGCACCTGAAACCCACCTGCTGGAATGGCATCCGCAGGGCGCCCATGTTGACGTAGGGGGCGACTCGGCACGCGTCCAGGTGGCTGGCGGTGCCCAGGATAACGCCTGCGAAGAGACAGACCTGGGGTGAGCGCGGTGCTGTGTGCTTGGTGCCCCAGATCAGCCTCGTGCTGCTTGCTCGGTACCCCCCACCCGGTCACGCACCTTTGTGCATCTGGTTCTCCTGTTTCCGGCACTTGGCTCGGCGGTTCTGGAACCAAACCTGCGGGAGAGCAGAGGAGCACCGAGCAGTGAGCACCGCGCAGGGCACAGGAGCACCGAGCAGTGAGCACCGCGGAGAGCACAGGAGTACCAAGCAGTGAGCACGGTGGGTGGGACCAGCACCCAGCCGCGGAGATCCAGCACCCTGATGACACGAATATCACCTAGCCGAGTCCATCCAGCACCCTGATGGCAGGAATATCACCAGCTGGCTAAATCCAGCACCCTGCCTTCAGGAACACCCGGTCCAACCCCTACCCTGACTCTGACCCCGAGCTCAATCCACACCGCGCAGGCACTCAGCCTCCTGAAACTGCCTGTGCCCGCCCCCCCCTTCACTGTGCTTACGGCCCGGAAACTCGGTCAGACCCGGGTGGACCGACGGCCTAGTCCACACGGCCTCTTCCAACCGCCCAAAACTGAACATTTCCGGTTCAAACTGGGTTCGACCTTCGCCCTCCGCTTCCCACTTAAATCGAAATGACCCAGTACCGAGTCGTTTCCGTTTTCCCGTCGGTCCGGATGGAACCGGTTGCATCCGCTTCTGGGCGGCGGCGAGCGCCCCGGATCCCCATTCGTCTCCCCTGGCCCCGGCCAAACCGGGCAAATGGATCCCAACCCCGGAAAAAAAAGTGCTGAACTCGGTTCTTCCCCGCGCTCCGCAACGACTTTCCGTAGGATGCTCGGCGGCTTGTCCCGAGCGACTCGCGCTCAGCACCTCGCGCTGCGGCAGTCCGTGCGCCGCGCCGCCGGGCCCCGCGCGTGCTGTGTGCTCGGTGCTCCCCCCGCGCGGTAATCGGATTCCAGGGTGATTTCCATCGCAGACAGTGAATAATGACATTTAATTTCGCCGGCGCGATCAGCCTCCTGAAAGTCGGTAATGAAATTAGCGCGGCGGGCCGTGTGCAGCGCCATTGATTTACCGCGCGGCGCTCGTTGCCAGCCCGGAACACCCGGTGCGGGGTACGACCGCCGGGGGTACTCAGTCACCAGCACCGCCGCGGACAGACTTCCGTGAGGACCGACCACTCACTCACGGCGGGGTTTGAGGGTAGCTGCTGCGGGAGCGGTGGGAGGGGTACTGAGCACGGCGGGTCAGCACCCCGGCACATGCGATCTGTTTACATTTCGGAGCGGGGGTACTTAACAAACTGAATCACCACCGCGAAAAAAGGAGTTTTCGGCCGCTCAATACCCGACTCCTATAAGGCTTTTAGATTTGTTTTTATAGCCGGGATACTGAGCACGAGGGCTCAGCACCCGAAAAGGACCAGTTTTCTGCTACTCAGTACTACCGGACACACAATCTGAGTTTTTCTCTGTTGGGGTACTTAGCAAATTGAATCAGCACCCGGAAAGGCCCAGTTTCCTGCCAGTCAGCACCCCGGAAGATGCAATGTCGTTTTTAATTTCGTTGTATATTGCGGTACTTAGCAAATTGGATCAGCACCGTGAAGAGGACCAATTTTCTGCCACTCAGTACCGCGCAAGATGGCAATAATTTTTGTTCGTATGTTGCGGTACTTAGCAAATTCAATCAGCACCCCAAAAAGGCCCAATTTCCGGCCAGTCAGCACCCAGATAGATATAATCTGTTTTCATTGCTTTTTATGTTGGGGAACTTAGCAAATTCAATAAACACTCCGAAAAGGCCCAGTTTTCTCCCACTCGGCACCCCAGCAGATGCATTATTTTTTGTTTGTATTTTGTGGTACTTAGCAAATTGAATCAGCACCCCAAAAAGGCCCAGTTTTCTCCCAGTCAGCACCCTGGTAGCTGCAGTATTTTTAAAATTTCTTTGTATGTTGCGGTACTTAACAAACTGCATCAGCATCGTGTCGAGGACCATTTTCTCCCAGTCAGCACCGGGGCAGATGCAATCTTAATTTCTTTTTTGTGTTCCAGTACTTAGCAAATTGAATCAGCACCCTGAAAAGGACCAGTTTCCTGCCACTCAGCACCCATGTAGAGCCAATCTTAGTATCTTTTCCTCTGGTGGGTTACTTAGCACGATGGCTCAGTACCCGGGGCCCGGAATCGAATTCGGAGTCGGGCGGTTGTTGGGGTCCAGGGTAGATAGTCGAGGCCGGATGGCATTGAACCCGAGGCCCAACTTCACCTCTTTGACCCCAGGACGCTCAATCCATCCCCGAGAGATCCACCCACAATGCGCTGCCCACTGCCCTGCAGTTGGAGGCTCGGTCCGCTCCCGTCGCACGGGGCCTGGGGGTGTCGTGTGAAATCGTTAGCGGTACCCCCAGCCAGCGTCATCCGTGCACCCATGACGGGGTTGCTGAGAGTGCTGGATGCACGGTGCTGCGGACTGCACTGTCATTTGCCGGCTTTGCTCTTTCTTTCCGGCGATCCCTCCCCCGCCGCACGCGTTGTTTATTTAGCCCGCGTCCCCCAGGGTCTCCCGCCCCCGCCCCCCACGGGCCCGGCCGTCAACGACCCAGACGCGGCTGATTTGCATCCGCCCCCCCGCCCCCCGCCCCCGCCTGGAAGTAAATACATTAGCGCGCTTCTTTCAGGACGATGAGCCAGGCCAGATGGATCATCACGAATTCATGCGCTGCTCCTCGGGGACCCGGATCGGGGCAGATTGGGGCGGCTCGGGGCGGCTCCGCGACCCCCGCGCCCCGCTAATCCGGCCCCGAGCGCGGGCTCGTCAACCAACCTGCAGCTGGGCGGGGGGAGCGGGCTTTGAAGACGGTGAGCCTGTGCTCCGGGAAGAGCGGGGGCGAGTCCACGGGTCCGGGTGCAAAGCCCGAACAGGGGGTCACGGCCCTGTTCGGAGTTCCACCTGCATTAAGCCCCGGGCCAGGTGCAAAGATCCCGCGTGCAAAGCCTCGACCTGTGTGTAAAGGCACCTGTGTGCAAAGGCACGAGGGTACAAACCTGCATCCTTCTACAAAGGGCAAGCCTGCACCCGTGTGCAAAGTCTGCAATGTGCAAGTCTGAACACCACGTGCAAAGTCTCCTATATGCAATCGCACATCCCGTGTGCAAAGCCCCCAATGTGGGAGCCTACACTCCGTGTGCAAAGTCTACAGTATGCGAACCTACACTCCTTGAAGTGTCCAACATGCATTCCTGCACCCCGTGTGCAAAGTCCTCAATATTCAATCCCACACTCCATATGCCTAGTCTCCGCTATGCAAATCTACACTCCGTGTGCAGTCTTCTAGATGCAAGCCAGCACCATGTGTGCAAAGTCCTCCATATGCATGCCTGCACCGGCTGTGCAGTTTCCGGGATGCACACCAGCTCACCATGTGCAAAGCTGTCCATATGCAACCCCACGCCTGTGTGCAAAGTCCTCAATGTTCAATCCTACACCCGTGTGCAAAGTCCCGCTATGCAAGCCTACACCCCACGTTCAAAGTGTCTACTGTGCCATCCGGTGATCATGTCCAAAGTCCTCAATATGTGAGTCTGTGCTTTGTGTGCAAAGTCCCTGATATGCGATCGCAGGCAAAAAGTGTCCATTATGCCCATGTGCAAAGCGTCTATGCAATCCCACGCCTGTGTGCAAAGTAGTCGACGCGCAATGCTACACAACCCTACAGTCGTGTGCACAGTCTGCACTGTGCACTCCCACATCCGGGTGCCAACCTGCCCTATGAAATTCCACTCCCGGTGCAATTCTGCAGTATATGCACCCTCCTGCCTGGGAGCAATTCTCCACCGTGGACTCCCAAACCCGCGTGCAAAGCTGCACCGTGTACTCCCACTTCGGGGTGCAATTCCACACCCGAGTGCAAACGTGCATTATGCACTTCCACGCCTGTGTGCAAAGCTGCACCATGCAATCCCACACCATTGTGCAAACCTGCACTGTGCACTCCCACACTCGTGTGCAAACCTGCACGATGCAATTCCACGCCTGGGTGCAATTCTGCAGTTTGCACCTCCACACCCGTGCGCAAGCCTGCACCGTGCAGTCCCACGCCATGTGCAAAGATGCTCTATGCAATTCCATACCCGTGTGCAAACCTGCACCATGCACACCCACGACAGTGTGCAAATCTGCTCTATGTAATTCCATACCCGTGTGCAGACCTGCACCGCGCACTCCCACGCCCGTGTGCAAAGCGGCTGTGTGCGATTCCACGGCAGGGTGCAATTCTGCAGTACACACCCCACAGCCATGTGTAAGCCTGCACCGCCCGCGTGCACCCCGTCCCTCGCCCGCCCGGTGCACCCCGCACCTGCACGCGGGCCTCGGACAGCCCGAGCCGCTGGCTCAGCTCCTCGCGCATGAAGGCGTCGGGGTAGTGCGTCTCGTCGAACAGCCGCTCCAGCTCGTTCAGCTGCTCCAGCGTGAAGTTCGTGCGGCTCCGGCGCTGCTTCAGCCTCTGCCCGTCGTCGTCCTCCCGCGGCTCCTCGCGCTTGTCCTTGTCCAGCGGGCCTGGGGGGGCAGCGCTCAGCGGCCGGGCAGGAGGGACCCGGGCCCCCTCGGACTCGCCCCCGTCCCCCCGGGACCCTGGAGACCCCGGGATCCGAGTCCGCCCGAGACTCCGTGACCCAGGACCCGAGTCCCTCCAGGCCCCCGAGTCCCCGGCCCGCGCCGCCGCGGGGTAAATGCTATTTTAAACCCCAAAATGCCCATAGGATTTGCGCACGTGTGCTGTCCTGCGGGGCTGTGTGCAAACCGTGGTCCCGGCCTCGCGCAGGGTCAGCTTCCGGCGAACCCCGCGTCCCCTTCTGGCTGCACATTTCCCCCCCACTGTCTGGGGGTTTCCAGCCTGGTCTGGCCTTGGCACTGTGTTTCCGGGGTCCCACGTCCAGGATCCCCCCCCCCGCCCGTTTCCCGCATGCGTTCCCGGGTCTCCCTTTCTCCCCTGACTCCCCACTGGCTCTTCCCGGATTTCTCACAATAGTTCCCGGTTTCCCCCTCTCTTCCTGGGATTTTCCGCCATCTCCGCGGATCTCCTCCCTTTTCCGGGTTCCCCACATTCTTTCCTCGAGCCTCACCGTCTCCACGATTGCTCTTTCTTTCCAAGTTCCCCCCATGTGTCCGGGTTTCCCACCGTGTCCCGGGATCCCCCCTTTGTCTCCGGGTTTCCCACACTCTTCCCTCGGTTCACACAGTCCTTTCCGGTTCCCCCTCTGTCCTACATTTCCCCCTCTTTCCGGGTTCCCCCTCTCTTCCTTGGATTCCGCACTGTCCCCGAGTTTCCCGTTTCCCACATTCTTGTCTGGTTTCCCATCGGCTCCCCGATGTCCCCCTTTCTTTCCGGGTTTCTAGCTCCCACTTCGTTTCCGGATTTGCAGCTCTCTAACCCGCGCCGGCCGCACACCCCACGGAAACTCCAGCCGCCCTGCCCCGCCGACCGCCAGGAGGATGCGCCGTGTCCTTCCGGATCAGATCGCGGCCGGCTCAGTCTGGCTCCAGCGCAGACCCGGCCCCAGGCCTCAGCGCAAACCCTAGGAAAGTGCTTAGCTCGGTTACTTAGCCTGCCGCTTGCCTGGGTGCTGGAATCTTAGTCGCCCCCAGAGCCCCGCAACCTTCCAGACGAACCCGAATGACTGCGGAAACTGGGGTGCTGGGGGGCTCGGTTCTCCTCGTCCTTAAAGGGACATTTGCAGACAGCGATTTCCGCACCCCCCTCCCCCAGTAGATCAGGCCCACAACCCCTGGTTTCACCAACTGGATGCGGTTGGGTGGGAGCGGCTTGGCCGGGGCACCGAGCTGACAGCATCACCCGCTTCTTCCGACCCGCTTCTGACACCCGCAACGTCAGAACTTCTGACATCTTCCCGCCTCGCCCCTGAGGCTGATTTTCAGGCGGATTCGCCACCCGCCACGGCAGGCGCGGAGCCCGGGGGCGGCGGGTTTGAGGGACCCGAGGGCCGTGTGCAAAGCCGCGGGGTCGGGAAACCTGCAGACTCATCGCGTTGGCAACGGAATCTGCCGGGATTTCGCCCGTTTCTTCCCCGACTTTCCGCAGGATGAGCAGAACCACCGAGTCTGACACTCAGTACCCGGGTCGGCACCACCCACCCGGGTCCGGCCAGCCCCGCTCGGCGTCGAGATCGGACACCCAGCACCTTCCCGGGGAGGGCGGCTCGGGGCCACCTGCGGACCTTCCCGCCCCCTCCCCAAACCCGCGGATCCGAGTTCGTTTTGCACACGGCCGGCCGGGCGCGAAGTTGGGGTCCAATCGGACGCTGGGCTGCGCGGCTCATCGCGCTGAAACCCGCCTTCGATCACTTCCTCACCGCGCCCGGGGGGTTCGGGGCTCTATCCGGATCCCGCTGGATCGGACCGGGTGGGACCGGATGGCACCAGATGGGACCGGGTCGGAGCGGATGAGACCAGGTCTCCCCGTCTTACCGTCTACGCCACGGCCGGCGCCGAAGTCCCTCAGTTTGTCCCGCTCGGCGTCCGGGTCGAGGCGCAGCGCGTCGCTCGCGTCCAGCGAACTGGATTCGGATCCGGATCCCGACCGGCCCGAGCCGGTTTCCAAAACTTCGCGGTAAGTGACCGAGTCCTTCCTTGGCGCCGGACCCGCACTGCCGTCGCGGGCCTGGGGGTCGAAGGACTTGGACACGAAGGCGGTTAGTTCCTCCATGGCCCCGGGGGGCGCGGCCGGGAGACCCCGCGGCTGGGGCGTCGGGTCGGTGCGCACGGCCCCGGTGCAGACGGGACGGAGGCGGCTCGGGTGCACTCGGCGCTATTTATACTACGGCGCCTCCGCCCCGCGCGCTGTCTGGAGCAATTACGGCTCCCGGGCGCGGGCCCGACGCACGTACGCGCCCCCCCACCCCGCCTCGCGGGACGCGGCCACGCGGGTTTCAGGACGATGCGCCGTCCACGCGGGTTTTCAGGAGGATGCGCCGTCCACGCCGCTCGGGTCCCAGCCTCGTTGGCGCCGCACACCGGGCCCGGGATAGGCCGCGGCTGCAACGTGTCGCCTTGTGGGGGGGAGGACTGAGCACACAGCACCGCGGATGGTGGACGAGGCGGCGGAGGACCCGGGGCCCGGCCGGGCAGTTGTGCAGTGCTCGGGATGTTGAGCGACTCACAGATCTCGATGATGCTGGACGCGGAAGCCACAGAAACCGGTTTGTGCCAAATCCCTGGGGCAGGGAGGGAGGAAGGAGGGGGAAGGCAGGCTGCGGTCACTTAGGGGGTTCTGGGATATTCGATACCTGTGACGTGCGGGGCCTTCAGCTGGGACGTCTGACGTCACTTCATATACACATGATGTAGGGATCCTGGCCTTCCTACACATTCAACTGTAACGTCTGATGTCATATACTTATAATGTAAGAACCCTGGCATTGGAGCATGCAGCTGGAACGTCTGACGTCATATGCATATGACGTGAGGACCTGGGCCTTACAGGGAATTCAACTGGGACGTTTGACGTCACGTCATACACATATGACATAGGATCGGGCCTTCCTTCGATTTCAGCTGGGACGTCTGACGTCATATAGGTATATCGCAGAGACCCAGGCATTCTGAGGCACGCACCTGGGACGTCTGATGTCATATACACACGGCTCCAGGACCTGCCTATCGAGAAGTCATATACTGTGAGGTAGGGACCCAGACATTGTGATGCATTCAGCTGGGATGCCTGATGTCATATACATACGACACGAATCCAGGCATTCCAGTGCGTTCAACTGTATGTCCGACGTCATATACATACAGCATAAGGACCCTGGCATCCCGGGGCACTCAGCTGTGACACCTGACGTCATATACCTATGACTAGAGACCCGGGCCTCCCGCCTGGCCTTTTGCTGCCCTTCGGCCTCTGTAACCTAGTCTCTGCACTATTCTCCCTACACCTGGCCTCGCTCAGGGGGACTCTGCACAAGCACCCTGGAAGCCACAGCCCAAACCCCCAGGCAAGCCCTGCGCTGGGGCCCACCATTACATTCCTGAAAAAAAATCCAAGTCATTCTGGCTGAATGTGCAGCTGGGTGGGGACTCAGCAAACAGCACCGACAGCACCAACGCTGAGTCTGCAATGGGACCCCGGACACACGGACCCAGTCCTGAAAGGTAAGGCAGGAGGACTCCCGCCTCCCGCAACTTCCGGCTGGTGGGGGGGGCGGGGAGGGAATGGAGAAGATGGAAGCACGAGCTTGGGCTTCTGGGTAACGTTGAGGCCACTGCACCAGGTGCAGGAGGCTGACATAAGACCGGATGGGGACGTCAGTGCCCCGGTGGAATAGTATGCAGCCCTGATTTCAGGACTTTTCCTCCACTACAGTCCTTTTTGGCTTTTTGTGGAACCACGGGTCCCAGAGGTACTTAAACTTGAGCACCCGTCAGAATATTGGGTTCACCCAGACCCAGGATTGCAGTGTTTGTGCAGCCGCGCCTCGGTTCCTCCACAGATCCTACTTGGAACTTCCCGCTGCACATCCTGCAGAAAGTCCCAACGTTGAATAGTCAGTCGATGACCCCACACGAGGATTTGTACTCTGTTCCTTGATTGACCCAACACCCGGCTCTGGCGACTTTCCCAGGGGGTCTGATGGCGCCGGGACCAGCGTCCTGCGGGATCACACCGGCTCTGCTCGGTTTCCCTGCGTGGCCTCTGAAGTTTCAGGGACCAAACCCCGAGCTCATCTTACTGAAAGTCCACGCTGCAGCTCGGGGCCCCAGACGCTTCCCAGGGTCGGGGTCCGCGAAGACTTGGTGGGAGCAGACGACGCGGCTGGCTCCAACCGGACCAGGGAACCGAGCAAAAAGCACGTTATTGTGTCCAGCTTACTCATGGGTGTTGGGACCACGTCCTGAAAGTGTTGCGGCTCGGTTCTGTGATGGCAAAGCTGTGTCCAACTGGCCTGGAACACCAGGAAAATAGTACCTTCTCCGCGTACCAAGGAAACAGTACCTGCCTGGGTAACCAAGCAAGCAGCACCTGCCCAAGCAATCGAGCAAACAGCACTCGATTCTGTCCACGTTACTCTTCGGTGTTGGGAAGGCATCCTGAAAGTCCTGCAGGTCGGTTCTGTGATGGCAAAGCTGTGTCCAACCGGTCTGGAACACCAAGCAAACAGCACCTTATTGTGTCCAGGTTTGCACGGGATTCTGGGTAAGCGTCCTAAAAGTGCTGCAGCTCGGTTCTCTGATGGTGAAGCTCTGTCTAACCTGCCCTGGCTAGAGCACCAGTCAGAGCTACCGAGCAAACAGCACCTTCTTGCGTCCCGGTCTGGAACCTGGTCCGGGTCCTCCCCTGCCCCCTCGCGCTCTGGCCCACAGCTGCGGCCGTCAATCACCCGCGGGGGCGGGGCCTCGCTGTCTAACGAGCACCGACTTGAACCGCCCAGGGCCGCCCAGGGGCGGAGGGGGGGCTCGTCCTGGCCTCGGGCGACGCCGCGGGCGACGTGCTCCACCCCCGGCCCGAGCAGCTGGCCGGAGACTCAGCTCGGCCTTGCCAGCACCCTGCGCTCCGCCCGCCCTGTGCCGCCCCGCGGGAGGGACGGACCCGGACCGGGCCACGCTTCCGGTCTGCGTGTGGCCGCTGCCGCCCCCGGCCGCCCCGGGGCACCTGTCAGCACTGACGGAGCCAAAGTGGTTTGGAAGGAACCGGATGAATCCGGAATCGGCGCCCGGTGCCGGGTCCTGTCAGAACCGCGGTGTGAGGAGCCCAGGGATTGACGGGTGGTGGGGCAGGAGGGCACGCGATCCGGGTGCTGAACACGACCCCACCCGGGGTCTGCGCCCCCCCGCCGCCCCCCTCACCCTCCAACGGCTCGTATTTGACACCCGACTTTTATTCGGGTGCCGGTCCGTGGGGCTGAGGTCTGCAGTGTGGACGTGGATGTGGGTTGGCCTCGTTCTCCCCTGTGAACTACTCCGCCAGGCAGGACTGTCGGCGGGTACGGGCATGGGGCTACTCAGGGTTGTGTGGCACGTGGGGGTGCTGGGGACTGAGTCGTAGCTAGGTGGATGCAGAGGTGCAGGACTGACTGGTGAGGGGGCGTGAGGATGACTGATCTGCGGAGGTGATGGATTGACAGGTGACTGACATGTGGGGAGACATGGATACACAGGCCAACAGATGATGGACAGCTGCCTGGGGGCATATCAGGGGTCGGTGACGTCATGTGGGACATAGCTTCGTGGTCATGATGTGATTTATTAAGCAGATATGTGGAAGATGACATCATCAGACAGATACCTGACAGGTGACACCATTGATTAGATACGCAGGGTGTAACACATGATGTCATCAGACAGATACATAGTAAATGACATCCTTTATTAGATAATGCGTGGCAGGTGACGTCATTTACTAGGCAGGTAAGTGACAGGTGGCGTCATCTGCACCCCCATCTGGCACCTGTCATCGGGATTTCAATACTCGACTGACTGCGCCTAGTGAGGGATCACCTCTGTCATCTGTGTCTGTCACTATATCAATAATCAACCCATCAGCTCTCACCTGTCTTTCCAGCAATAATCGATGCACATCAGTGGACTGAGGGGGTCCGGGTGACATATGACGGTGATGTGTGACGGTGACTTGTGCAAAGATGAGGTGGTTGAGTCTCGGCTCACTCTGCTTCTCCAGATTTGTGTCAGCCGTCTGTAACATAAGACCCTGAGAAGCGGGCCATGTGCAACATGTGAGCCTGAGGAGTGGGCCGTGTGCAGTCTCTACTCCTCCAGAATGGGCCATATGCAAACTCTGACGTGTAGCAGTGGCCGTGTGCAACATGTGAACCTGAGAGGTGGGCTTTATGCAACGTGAGACCCTAAGGAGTGGGCCATGTGCAGTGCAGGACAATCAGGAGTGGGCTGTGTGCAACACGGGACCCTGAGGGGTGGGCCCTGTGCAAACTGACTTGTAGGAATGGGTCCTGTGCAACATGTGAACGTCGAACCCAGACAGGGAATTACTGCAAGAGCTGGGACAGGCTGTTTTCAGTTGGATGAGGAGAGAGCAGCTGGCAGGAATCTGACTTCCTGCAGGGCTGAGCAGATTTCTTGTTGGTTCCTAGGTGCTGCTTACATATGGAGGCAGCAGTGGGGCCACTGCCGCAGGGAAAGGTAGAGTCGAGGGACTTCAGTGGGTTCTCATCTCCCGACGTCGGGGAAGCCGAGGAGCGGGAATTCCAGACCCCGTGTTGGACGGTGCAGTCTGAACCCAGAACCACACCAGGAAGGCGTGAGGTCACGAGGCGCTGCAGAGGGACCAGGGCTGTGCTCTCCCCGACAAGCCCCACCCTCCATGTCAGGGCAAATCTTGCAGCTTCTGCACAAGGCTCCATGTCCCTGTTCAAGTCTTTACACCTTTTGCACACAGCACTGTGCAGATCCTCACAGCACCATGTATCTTTGCAAAGCCTTATAGTTTCTGCACGTGACAACGTGCCCCTGTGCAAATCGGCTCGAGTTTTGCATACAGCACCATGTCCCTGTGCAAACGATGTCAGTTTTTGAACCCAGGACCCTGCACAAATCTTCGCAGCCTTTCACATGGCACCAGGTCCCTGTGCAAGTCTCCCTGCTTCTGCACCCGGCACCATGTACAAATGCTCCCAGCACTTGCACCCGGCACCATGTCCCTGTTCACATCTTCGCAGGCTTTGCACACGCACCGTGGCCGTGTGCATAGGGCGCGCACACCCAGGGCAGCACCCACACTCTAAATCCATACACAATAGAGCAGCGAAACAAAAGGAACCCAGCGGGCGGGGTGCAAACTTGTCTAGATCCGCATCCGACTGGTCGGGCCGGCGGTGGGACCCGTTGCCAGGGCAACGCTCTCCCGGCCAGAGGTCTCGAGCGGACCCTCCTGAAAGTGTCAGGAAACATTAGCGGGCCGGGCGCACTCACGGCTGTAAATTGGCCCCTAATCAGGTCCACGGCGGCAGGGGCGGCGGGGGCTGCGGGGGCGGAGGCATGACAGGACGGTGCTCGGCCCCGGGGCCACCCACGCCGGCTCAGTCCAGTTTATTCCCTGTTTAAATGCGGCCGGTGGAGTCTTTGCACATGACCCACTGCTCAAAATCCTGAAAGAGACAAAAACCGGGAAGTTTGTGGATTCATCAACTGACGATCAGCGGTTCCGTGAAATCACAAATATTCAGTCGTCAAACGTCGCCATGTTGCTTTCAAAAGCCCGGGGTTCCGGGGGTCGGACCCGCGTCCTCGGCTTGGCTGCCTTTGTTTATCCACTGTTTACTTCTACTTATTTGAAATAGCAGCCGAATGAAAGACGAACTGGGGACAAGTTTAAGGACGTGCTATGATGTCAGAGCTGCTGAAGGGGAACCGAGTGCAAAGTTAGAAAAAGGGGGGTTAAGTACTTCCAGGCTCGGGCTGCTCGCAGAAACCTTTGTCTTTTTTCCTTTGCTGGCGACTGTTCTTTATTTAGAATGAAGGGATGGAAACAGACCTAGAAAGTAGTAAAAGGAAGGGACGGTTCTAGGGTGACACAGTCCGAGGCTTTGAGCCCTGGCCAGACCAGAAAGAAGTGGAGGTGACCTCGTGGGTTTCCGTAGAGAACTGAGTTGTGTTGGTGCTGGGAAATACAATACAGCTCTGAAAAGGGGGCACCTGCATGTTTCCACAGAAAACTGAGCTGTGTTTCTGATCTGGAATACTAGACAGCTGTGAAAAGGGGCATGAGGAGGGCCTAAGGAATGGGGGGAGGACTGAGAGCGGCCCGGGAGCTAATGAAGAACCTGAAGGGGAGCAGTGAATCCTCCAGTGGGGCTGGTACAAGCTCTGTGATTAATCCTACCTCAACCCAACACACACACACACACACACACACACACACACACACACACACCTGTGTATATGCTCTCAGTAGAGTACTAGGCAGCCAGGAAGAAGGATGAGGTGGGCATGGGGAGGGAGGCAGGGACAGGGGGAGAAGAGGAGGGAGGATGATTATGATGATGTTGGATGATGTCATGTGGTGGTGATACTGAGTGATGATATCATATATATGATATGATGGATGGTGTCATGATAGTGGTGGTGAATGACAGGTGGTGGTGGATGATGATGTATGATGGTGGTGAATGATGTCCTATGGTGATGATGTCATAGAATGATGGTGTTATGTGGTGATGATGTCATATGAGTGGTGATGTCATATGATGTCACATGATGAAGCCACTTGTGGACTCCAAGCTCTGGCTGTGGCTGCTCTTGGGCTGTGGCCCATCCTTGCATCTGCAATTGATTCACCATCCAGCCATCCAGCCATCCACTCTCGTTTATCCATGACCACACACCTTCCATCCATTGGTCCTATCGTCATCTATGTCTCATGCACACACGCGTCTGCTTGTTAACATGCATCATGTATGTGCCATGCTGCGTCACGTATGTTCGTCTGTCTCCATTTATCTCATCGTCAATCGATTATCTGTCTCATTCTGTTACTGATGCACTGATTATCATTTTTCATGACTGTCTCCTTGTACCAAGTCCCCAGCACCCATGTTTAGACTTGTTCTGAAGCATTCACATGGCACAGTGCACTTGTTCCTGCTGGAGGGATTCATTGTACTAAGTACTCACAGAGACCCAGAGAAAACCGGCACATGTGACTCCAGCCCTCGAACTGATGGCATGATGTCTGCACACCTGGGTACCGTTTTGCCCATGGCTCGGTGCCAGTCAGGGAAACTGAGGCACGGACGGGACACAGCTGACCGGCACATCCTCCTGATCAGTACTTGATGGTGCTGTGTACAGTACGATTTCCCACAACCTCTGGAACCCCCAGCTCCAGGAGCTCCGCAGGCCTCTTCTGGCCTCCACCCAGTGCTGCTCACACTCGGACACCTAATTAAAACCAGTTTGTATCAGTCAGCCGCGGCTATGGAGGTAACAAGGTGCCCCCAGACTCAAACCTGCAATCAGGACTTCCTCTTCAGTGCTGTATAGTTTTCCGATGTGGACCGTGCAGCAGGAGCTGGTCTTGCTGTGTTGACCCATCCCAGCACCTGTACCAAAGTGTGACCGGCTGAGGTCCTTGATTGACAGGTGTGGATGGGTGAGGGGACGGGCCTGGAGGTTCCAGTTCCGGTTGGGTGTCTGTCCACGTTAGAAATTTTGTACCAGAAAACGGGGACCGGGACCCAGCACCCCATTTGTCTTGGATGCAGCCGAAAGTCATCGTGCCCTCAGCACCACCTAGTGGGCACCAGATACACGGTGGCGGTTTCACGCCCCCCCCCCAGGCCAAGTCCAACCAGGGTCTGGGGTAAAACCCCGCGATATGCACAAACCTTCGTCATCACCGGGCCTGCGGTGTTCGGCACCCGTGACGTCACACCTCCCGGGCTTCTAGGGCCGTCTACGTCCGCTCGACGCCGTGACGACTCACGTGACGTCATGACATACGCCGGAGTCCTGGGGGAGCATCTCTGGTGGACGGTTACTTCAATATTCGTGAGAAGAAACTGGCAAGAGCCGGATTCCGAGGCCCGCGTCGCCGGCAGCCGGAACGAGCCGGTTTTTAATGGTGTTTAATTGTGTCAACAGCGCCTGGGACCCGAGAGTAATCGGGAATCAATTAGCTGGGGAGGCTGCGGCGGTTTCCAGGCCCCCCGCCCCCCGCCCGGCGGCTTCCCGCGCAGCCCCCGCTCCCGGCAGGCACCGCGCGGGCCCAATTATTTTTAATTGTCAGACATTTGTCTGCTGAGCACTTCCGAGAACCGAGGTCTCGCGGCCTCAGCACCGAGTGGGTGTCCCGGTCATCTCGGCTCCGTGTCGCACCCCCCACCCCGGGAGGGCATTGGGGACCGACTACCCAGCACCCAGTCACCCTTCCGGCACCATCACCCAGTTTGGACCACGGGGGGCGGTTTCTAGGGTCCCACGGCACTGGGGAGGTTCAAGGACTCGTCCCGCGGCGGTTTCTAACCCCGCCCCCCGCCCGGCTGCGTCACTCCAGGCGGAAGCAGCGGCTCCGGAGCTGGACAACTCTGAAGGCCGTTTGCTCCCCCTGCACTCAGCGCTTAAAAAGAAACAACCGCACAGGCTGTATTTAGTCCCAGCACCCGCTGTCACAAGCAAAGTGAATTAAGGCTCCTTCTTGAAATAACTGAGCTTGGCGGTGACAGCACCACAGCGGCGGGTGGTGCTCCTTCTTTGAGCTCCTGCAACCACAAGTGACAAATCTGTGGGAAAACCGGGGTGGGGGTTGGAGGTGCGTGCAGGAGATAGGACAGGCCGTACACACACGTGTGTGGAGACAGTTTTCTCTGAGATCTGGAGCTTTGCCCCTCCTGTGAGTATCCGCTGATATTTATGGAATCATGTCCAGCCACAGGACAGAATATTACACAGCCAAGAAAAGAAACATACTCAACTGATATAGAATCATGTCTGACCGTGCACTGGAATACTACACAGCCATCAAAAGGAAGAAAACTGAAAAAAAGCTATAATCTAATGGACTTTGAGGACATCGGGAGCTGACAAGACAGAGCAGGCACAGGAGGATATGCGAAGTGCTCACAAATAGGAAGTGGGTCACCAGTCACGGGTGCTGAGGGCTATGGGAATGTTCCGGAACCAGGTGGAGGTTGCACTGCATTGTGAACTCTGCAGTGTCCTCCTTCTGATGAGCAGTCACAGCCCCTGATGATGGGTGCTGTGACTCAGTAGCTGGCATGGGTATGAGATGGACAAGTGGGGTATCACCGAGCACACCAGAGTTCAAGTTCCCGATCACTGTCGATTTGATAACAGGGGCCCGAGTTCTTGTAGATGTGTTGTGGGGCATCCAGAAGTGACCGGTTCTCCCATGATGCTCTGCTCACCGTAGGTAGGCCCAAAGTCATGGATGGTGATGATTATGTCATCGGGATGATGATGATGGTGATGGAGCCATCATGATGATGTCACGATGATGGTGATGAGATGATGTCATCACAACGACGATGATGGATGATGATGATGTCATGATGATGATGGATCACGCATCATGCATTGCCGGGTGATGACTTGTGTTCCTGTCCATGTTGCTGGCTCTCTGCTGTCACTTCCCATCATCCTTTTCGGTACTGATGGTCTATTTTTAGCTCAGGTTGCTGGTCGCCCCTCCCACTACTTATGGAGCTCTTTTCTTCGCCTGAGGACATCACACAGCCGCCTGAGTGGAGTGAACCCGGCTGTCAGCACCCAGCTCAGTAATTAAGTGACTGGCAGATGCCAGGACAAGATTGTGCGGGTGTGTGCGTTTCAGGAAGTTGAGCCTGCCACATCTTCACACACCCAGCCCCGGGGTACTCCGTCCCCCCAGTCCTCAGACCAAAGCAATCAACTGTCAGGAGGCTGATGGGTCCTGACAAAAGACAACAGAGTGCCAGGGATCAAGCCGAATGGGTCCAGTCTATTCCGTGGAACACTTTCAGGAAGGTGTTCTTAGGACAAGTTTTGGTTTTTTGGTTCATGAATCTGAGTCTACAAACCCTCTTGAGACATGCACAGATAGGGACTGAGATTGTACCTGTCAGCACCAAGGGGGGGCAGCAGGCCAAATAAGAGGGGTTGAAATAGAGGATGGACTACTACAGGGACAAGAGCATACCTGTGTGCTACAAACCAACAGTCTCATCCACAGGATGGAGTACTACGCTGGCAAGAACAAGCTGGTGGGTGCCACAAATCCCACCCAAAGGGCTGGAGGAATGTCTCAGAGCACACGCCTGGCACAGCACAGCCTCCAGAAAGTCCGATGTGCTCTAAGAATGGAATCCCTGGCGCTGGACCTGGCCCACTCAGGTCAGTTTTCAGTAGCATCCCCACTTCTCACTTCCACCCCAGCTGGGTAAACTGAGGCAGGGCCCCACGATTGTCAGCACCCGGCACCCCGACCGACAGCTTCCAGCGGATGGGGAGCTCAAATTCTGCCCCTTGCTAGTCCTCCTGAACAATCTGGGGCCTGGTGCAGATGTGCCTGAAAGACCAGGCTTTTAGTAGCATGAGGCCCACGAGGCCGGAAACCAATTCAAAGCAGTTCTAACGGGTTCAGACCACTTCTAAACAGGTCAAACCGGTTCAAGTCAATCTAAACTGGCTCAAACCAGCTGTAACCAGGTTAAATCAGGTCAAACCTGGCTCAAGTCAATTCAGACCAGCTCAAACCGCCTGCCCATGGCCCCGGTACCCCGGGATTCCCCCCTGGATTAGGGTCCTGCTCCTCTAGTCCTGGGCGGCATCGTCCCGGCTCTGAGGAGGAAACTCTGCAGATCGTCCTCAACTCCCTGTGGCGCGCACGTTGCTGAAACCGGCACTGCGGGAGCGGCACGGGGAGGCCAAGTAGGTCCGCGAACACCCGGAGCTCAGTCCGGCTTTCAGGGCAGCGAGGCTGAGTCAGCCCGGACGGGGCCTGGGATGGAAGAACCGGCTCTAACATCCCGGGGTCCCGGTAGTTTGCTAAGTCTTTGTGATGAATGCGCTGAATTCGCTCCCCCCCTCCCCAACCCCGCGCCTTTCAGGAGGCTGCAGGTGTGCCGTGTGCACTCCCCTCCCCCGCACATGTGACAGCACTTAGCCACATGAAAGCCAATCCGCGCCGGGTGCAAAGAATGCGGGGTCGCGAGGCCGCGTCCAGGCGGGGAGAAAAGGGGAAGGGCAGAGCGGCGGGGGCCACGCGCCTGACAGGGGACGACCCCGTCTGTCACAGCGAGCACTGCAGCCGCGCTCTACCCGGGGCCCGGTTTGCACACGGCCCGTTGCTCCAGGTGCGGCGATCAGCGCCGTCCCGATGTTCGACCGACTACTGCTCGACCCCAGCATTTCCCCAATCCTCCTGAAAGTCCTGGCCGCGCGGTGCTGCGATTCCTATTTATTTATCAATTGATTTCCCTGGGGTGTGCAGGGATGCAGGCCGGAAGTTCACAGAACGTGGGGTGCGGTATCTGCTTCCGGGTCTGGCCTCTACTTCCGGTTCTGGTCTTTGCTTCCAGTAGGGTCTCTGTTCCGGTTCGGATGTCTACTTCCGGTTCTAGGCTCTGCTTCCGATTGTGGCTCCACTTCCTCCTTGGGCGTCCGGGATCTCTTCCCCCCCCACCCCCCGCCCCCGCTCTCCCAGTTCTGGGTACTTGTTTTCACATCGACTCTGTGCCTTGCAGTGCTGTGCTGAGTCCCTAGCAGATGGCACGGAGCCTCACTGGGCTTTCAGTGCAGCCTGCCCTGTCCCTGGAGAGGGGTAGGGGGGGTGTTGCATAGTCCGGGTTCTGGGTTCAAAACTCATATATTCCTGAAAGTGTGGGTGCAGGGTCACCGACCACCAAGAACCCAGTTTGGTGACTTGGGGAAACTGAGACTCTCCACCGCCCCATTTTCAGCACCATCAGCACCTTCACGCGCACTAGCAGGCGATGCGCTGACGTGTCTTTTCTGCCAGTATGTAACTTAATTCATTACCTCTAGGTCGGACCCTGGCATTGATTTCCGGTTTCCCACAAGGAGTGACGTCACGAGGTCGCGTCACGGGGTCGCCATTTGCATTCTCCACCTCGTCGCCTCATTAAAGTTTCATTTCCGTTTTGGGGGATTAAACAGACTTCCGGCCTTTATTGCGCCAAGTCTCGAGACTCGTTGGCACCCACAGGAAGGCCACAGATTCATCTATGCGGCTTCCGGGGATCACCAAGAACTAGCGCCTCCTATACGAAGAACCAGTACAACCTCGACTGTGTCAGGGGGCCTTGAGGCCGCTGTGGGAGACAGGGACGAGTGGGGGAAGTGACGTCATCGGCATGTCATAGCAGACACAGGGGACCCCCCCTCTCTTCTCTTTCCGTTTTTGGATATATAACATTCCTAAGGGGCACGGGGAGCCCCCCAAGCCCTGCCGCAGCCCAAGAGGTGATGGGAGCCTGAGGGCTCTGACGTCATCACCGGGTTCCTCATTGGTTGCGTAGGTCAGTCGGAAATCAGGATGCTGGGCCACACGGGTGAAAGCGGCATCACAGGGCGTGCCCTCAAATAGGGACACTGGGACACGTCTCTTCAGTCTCTTCCGTCTCTACTTCCTGTTCTCCGCCACATCAGTAGCTCTGGTCCCCCACGTGCTCCCATGATGCTCTACGTCACCCAAGGCCTGGGAGCCACAGGACAGAGCGCTGACCCTCCCTCCTCGTGACTCTGGTTTGTCGGGTGCTGGAAGGCTCCGTGATGCAGTAGCTGTGTCCACCCCCATGTGGATGGTGATGTGCGCATGGGGTCAGCTCCCTCCACACCCCTGCGTGTGGCTGGTCTTTTGGTGCTGGGTGGTGAATGCTAGGTGCCGGGTGCTTGGTGCTGTGCCATGTCCTCTCTGTTCAGCTCAGCCTCGGCAGTGACTCTGGCAACCTTTGTGCCCCGAGGCCCGGGGTCCCCTCGGGGAGTAGGGCGGTGGGGGCTCAGATCCAGTTCAGGCCAGATTAGCAGGATTAAGTCTTGCTCCTGGGGGTCCCACCCCCTCGGGCCTCCAGCCACAGCCAGTTCTCCCAACAAGCGCCTTCTTAGCATCACAAAGGCTTCTGCTGGCCGTGCCAGGGGCGTTGTGGGAACTCAGGCCCATTAGAAGGTGCTTGCTGGATGCTGTTGAGTCTTCCAGGGGAAGTCCTTCCTTTCGCTGGACAGTTCAGCACCTAGTGCAGCATCTAGTTCAGCACCAGTGGTCTGAGAAGTTTCCTGAAAACATAGAACTCAGGCGCTGTTTCCAAATGGTGTATGAGTCTCCTGAGGATTTTAGCTGGCAATGTAAATTTATGCTAATTTATGCTAATTCATGCAAATTTTCCTTTCTTTTCATGTTTATTCACGATTTCTGTTTGTATAGGAACAGATTTTACACAGAATATGTTCG